CTTTCTTAAACTCCTTAGTTTCAGAATTGATGGGTTCTACCCACCTGTGGGATTTTCTCAAGCAATATTATTAAAAAGGTTTAATTTTGAAAGTTTGGAGGACCGCAGAATAAAAGCATCTTTAGTATTTTTGTTTAAACTCATAAATAATTATATCGACTGCCCTTATCTTTTAAGTAAATTGTATTTAAGAGTTCCTCGTGTTACTGCAAGAAATAATTTTACCTTTTATTTGCCAGGTGCAAAAACAAATGTTTTAAAATTTTCTCCAGTACACTTTATGTGTGATAAATACAATGACTTGCAAGACAGTTTTGATATTTTTTCATGCAATTTGCAAACAATAAGAAACTTAATTTTAAATACCTAATTTATTTATTCTTTTTTGCATTGTGCTTTTTATTGTTCTGTACTTATATAAGTTTGTAGAATATTTCAACTGTTTTTATTATAACATTTTTTTTTCATGTGATATATTTAGTTTAGGTTAATATCTCATCTTGTAATTGGTCCAAGGACTGTAAGATGATGTAAATAAATAAATAAATAAATATATATATCATTAAACATATTTATCCAAGATTGGTCCTATATTAGCATATCATTTTACGCCAATATATCATTAAACATATTTATCCAAGATCGGTCGAATATTGGCATATCATTTTAAGCCAATATATCATTAAACATATTTATCCAAGGTTGGTCCTATATTGGCATATCATTTTAAGCCAATATATCATTAAACATATTTATCCAAGGTTGGTCCTATATTGGCATATCATTTTACGCCAATATATCATTAAACATATTTATCCAAGGTTGGTCCTATATTGGCATATAATTTTAAGCCAATATATCATTAAACATATTTATCCAAGATTGGTCCTATATTGGCATATCATTTTACGCCAATATATCATTAAACATATTTATCCAAGATCGGTCGAATATTGGCATATCATTTTAAGCCAATATATCATTAACATATTTATCCAAGGTTGGTCCTATATTGGCATATCATTTTACGCCAATATATCATTAAACATATTTATCCAAGGTTGGTCCTATATTGGCATATAATTTTAAGCCAATATATCATTAAAAATATTTATCCAAGGTTGGTCCTATATTAGCATATCATTTTACGCCAATATATCATTAAAAATATTTATTCAAGGTTGGCCCTATATTGGCGTAACATGATTATCCAATATATCATAGTCGATGTGTATGCTATGTTGGCCCCATATTGGCGTAAAATGATTATCCAATATATCATTGAAAATGGTTGTCCAAGGTTAATCTAATATTACCCCTACATTATCGTAAAATGATTTTCCAATATATCAGTGTCAATGTTTGTCCAAGGTTGGAATTAAATGATAATTCAAAATTTCCAACGTTTATACACTGTTGGCCTTATATTGGTGTAAAATGGTTATTCAATTTTTATTATAAATTATATTATTATACCAATGCTTATATATAAATATAGCAACAACATGAGATTATGCAACATTCCTCAAAGAGTTTTTCATAGAATTTGGAGGGTACATTTTATATCAAGTAACTCCCCTCTCCCCCTTATCATTTGGGTGAGCATTGTTACCCGGCCCCCCGCTCCTACGCCCTTAAATACTATAAACATTTCCTAAAAACAAACGTGTCCCCAGTAGCACAAAATATTGGCCCAATGTATTAACTACATTGGTAAAATATTGTTTATTGGCCCAATATTGGCAATATTTAGCCAATATTGGTAATTTATTGGCATTACCATCTTCTCATTCATTTGATTTTCATATTAACCCAATATTGGGCCAATGTTTATGAAAAAATATTTCTTTATGTGCTTAAATTTAATTTACTTATGGAGTAAAATCTAACCAAGTTCAAACTAAATACATAGATTCTCTTTTTAACCATTAAAAGGGATTATATATAATGTCCTTTTTTCCAATATTGGACCTATATTGGGTATATATTGCGTAGGGAAAATTTTGTAGCACAGACAACACTTCTACAAAGCCAATACAACGAAGTGTCAAACACCGTATTTGTCACGTGTTTTTCTTTGTGATATATATTTATCGACTGCAAATAAATAAAATTTGGATCCTGGGCAAAGTAAATGTAAGTACCTATACAATTTAATATATTATATAAATACTATTATTATAAATAAATGAGCAAAATATTCCATCAGGCGTCTTTCATAAATTTTTTCAAGCTAACAATCTATTTTCTATTTTAATAGTTTGGCTGTAGATAAAAACTTTACCCGCAAAGTGCCCGTACAAGAGTATCTAATGCTTTAGTTATAATAACTGGCAAGTTTAAAGTTACCATATTTTTTATCAAAATAAAATACAAAATGGGAATGTTGGTCCAATATTGGGCAAATATTTGTTGTTTTTCAACATTGGGCAAATAATGGCTAAATATATGTTTTATTTTAAGTTCCCGACCGGTTTCATCTTAGGCAATCTTCAGGGGACTACATCTATAATATAGTTTACAGACCATAATATGGTAGTACCAACAGTGGCGGATCCAGGGGGTCTTTAGGGTCGTGACCTCTCAATACGAATTTATTAATCAAAAAATTATATCGAACATTCATTACCAACATTATTATACATTAAATCTTTGATAAGTTTTAATATAATAAAGTTAAATATATTAAATTGTTGCTAAAATTAAGTATTATATTTTACGTTTTATTCGGCAGATACGCAAAATGGAAAAAAAGTATAGTGCAAAATATAGAAGCATTAAAAGATCATTGGAAGAATTAATTATTGCAAGTCCTCTTCAAAACAAACAACAAAAAACTGAAGTTCATATTTTTTGTGAAAGTAAAAACTGCGAGAAAAGCTATGTCAAACGTGACGAAATTGATACTTCAAATTTAGCTGGAAGCTATACAGATATATTAGATACATCCGAACTAACATCTGAAGAAATTGTTCCAGAAATAGATTCTACCAATCAGGCAGACACAACTCCAAGTGAAAATTTAAGACAATTTTTATGTTCATGGGCTAAAGACTATTCTGTAAACCATACTCAACTAAATCACTTGCTTAAAGGTTTAAATGAACATTTACACTTAAAATTACCCTGTGATGCAAGGACAATATTAGGTACAGTGCGCCAAACTAATATTAAACATAATATTATGACAACTACATCGGGAAAGACTGGAGAATTTTGTTACATTGGAATTGCAGAAAATTTAAAAAAACTCCTAACATCTCAGGTTATTTTGTCAAAAATTAAAAATGAATTACAACTTATTTTTAATATTGATGGTGTACCACTCAGTAAAAGTTCAAATCGACAATTTTGGCCAGTATTGGGAAAAATTTATATACGTAATTTTAATATAAATCCATTCCCAGTTGCCATTTTTTGCGGAGATGGTAAGCCTAACTTGGACTCTTTTTTCTCTGAATTTATTAATGAAATCAATGTGATGCTAGAGTCTGGGTTACAACATAATGGTACCTTATATTCGATAAAAATTTTATGCTTTACGTGTGATGCTCCAGCAAGGGCTTACGTTAAGTGCGTGAAGGGCCATAATGGAAAATATGGGTGCGAAAGATGCAATTAGCCAGGATTGCACCACCAAGGCAGAATGTTATTTAAAGAAACTACTGCTACATTAAGAACCGATGAAAGTTTTAGTACCCAGGAACAACCAGAACACCATCATGCTGTCACACCCCTCTTACAGATTACAAATTTTAAATGTATAACTTTTTTTGTACTCGATTCCATGCATTTATGTTTTCTTGGAGTCATGAAAAAACTAATTAAATACTGGTATTCAAATCCTGCAACTAAACTACATTTACGAGGACGCTCAAAAATATCAGAATACTTGGAGTATACCGGAAAATTTATACCAGAAGAATTTAATAGAAAGTCGAGAGGACTTAACGAGTTAGACCACTGGAAAGCCACAGAATTTCGATTATTTGCATTATACACGGGTGTGGTAGTTTTAAGAAACATATTACCATCTGCGTTTTACCATCATTTTCTGTTATATAATTTTGCTTTAAGGATACTATTTTCTAATGATCTTTCCAGTCATAACTTAAACTGTGCTAGGAAATTGCTTTTATCTTTTGTAAGCGATTTTGAAAAAAACTATGGTGTTAACTCATTAATTTATAATGTACATAGTATTTTACATATTACTGACGATGTCCAAAATTTAAAACTTAATTTAAATGATTCAAGCTGTTTTTCATTTGAAAGTTATTTAGGAAAACTGGTAAAATTAGTTAAAACACCTAACAAGCCTTTAGCTCAAGTGGTAAGACGCCTGTCGGAAAATCAAAAAATGTTTTATAGTAAGAAAGGAACTCAATTTGAAAAATATTTTTTCTCATCAAATAACTTTAAGGATTCATTTATACTAACAAAAAATAATAAAATTGGAAAAATTAAGTTCGTTTATAGTAATGATATAACTGTTTTAAAATGTTTAGGACAAAAAGATTATTTCAACTATCCATTTCCATCAGGAAATATTGGCATATTTAAGTTTCTTCAGATAAGCAATGACGAGATTACATACAAAATTTCAGATATAAAAAATAAGTTGCTTGTAATTAAAGAATTAAATAAAAATTCATATGTAGCTTTTGAAATCTTACACACAAGTTAATTAACATAATTTTTTTCTAAATTATTTATTATATATTTTAAAGAATATAGAAATAAAATATTAAAACTTTCTAATGCCATTAAATATTTACTAATATGAGTTACCTTATAGAATATATACTAATAGGTTAATAATTATAAAAAATATTATATAAAAATATTATATTATAAAATATTATATAATAAAGTACCTAATAAAGTACCTACATAGTTTAATTTTTACAACCTAAATGTTTATATTATCGCAAATTTGATTTATTTTACTGATTTTTGTATTATGTATTATCACGTGATTTCCAGAATAAATTTTAAATATGTTGTCCTGGGACCTGGTTTTTTGGGCAAATAAGGAATGTGTCGATTACATTCCATCAATCTGGGCTGTTGATAACGAAAATTACAAGTGGCCGCAAGGAGTGTCTCAAGATGTGCGGCAAGCTTTAATTGATGCTTGCGACCCTTTAAAGTCAATAAAGTATCGCATACACAAAGGAAGACCAAAGATAATGAACATAAGAGACTTAAAAAAAGCCAAACTATGTGAAAGAGCGCTTTACTCTTCTTGTGTTGAAACTACCGACGGTGAAATACCTGTATCTCAACATTCGGATAATACTGATAGTGACAATGAAGACATGCAGTCTGTTATTAGTAAGTAATCTAAATAAAAATAAAAAATAATTTATATAAATCGGTTAGTAACAAGTCTTTTTGTTGTTTTAAAACCCATAGTGCATTCAAAAACTACCTCAATAAAATGACAAACTAGTTTTGATATGCGTAAATTTGTAATTGTATTTTAGCCTTTACACCACCAAAAACATCAAGTAGTATAAATCCAAACAAAAGTAACAAAACGCTTAACGCCATATCTTTTAACAATCACAGTAGTGATGATGATTTGCCATCGATTAAAGAAATTGCTCGTAAGTATATTTTATAACGTTAAAATAATAACTACTTTACTAATAATTTTCTTAATATTTTTAGATTCTAGTAGATCCAAAAATAAATTGCATGTGACCGCTGGTCTGTATTATACATACAACTACAACTAAATATAATATATTATATTCTATTTGATATTTTTAATGTTCATGTAAAAATGTGTTTTATTTCCAGAATCTACACCTTCATTTACTAGAAAGTCTCTTGAAGACAATACAACAAGTTTTAAAAGGCAAAAACTGGATTTTACTAAATCACCATCACTCCTTAATTATGCAGAACCGACCAATCATACAGAGCCAATTAACTTGACAGGTACATGGGTACATTGTATTGTTTGTTTTATCTATTTACAGCTAAGTACTTTAAACGTTTAATTATATTTTTAGATTCTGAAAGATTGATGTTGAAAGAAATTAAAAAACTAAACTGGGAAATAGGCGATTTAAAAAGAAATGTTAACAAAATTCATGATATGTTAGTTGTAAATAATTCACTTAGTATTCAAAGTTCCAATGAAGGACCTTGGCAGCTCCCTATTGAAACCCAGGCTTCACTTGATCAGCTAGAACTGCACTTGAAAGAAGAAAAAAATTCTGAAATGCTGGTAAGAATTATGTTAAAAGTTCGATACAAATTATAATGTTGTTTATTTTATAAAAACCGTATAGGGTCACCGGTTGTACCTTTGTGGTGGGGACACTGTCCACAAGGCAGTTTTTCTAATATTGAAAAAACTATTATCAAGAGAAGTGGCTGTCCTATACTCAGGGTCTGGAAAAAAAGGAAAGTTATCCTTTCAAAAATTATTTTGTTATTTGGCTGTAATAAGTAAGTTTTTTTAAATATATTGAGTTACAAAGTAAATTATTATTTATTTTTCTTTATAGAAGCTATCCGTAAACGCTTCCCAACCGCCACTGATTCAGAATTAAACAAATCCATCTCCCTGTATTTGGCAGGAGCGTCAGATAGAGGGGGTGGACGCAAAAACCGATAATGATGATAGTTGATGTATCATGGTCTATGTATGTTTTTGAATGTTTTATGTAATATAGACCAATAAAATATATTTTCGTTATTTAAAATTTAATTATAAATATCTATTTTTTTCTACTTCTCAAATTTATATATCCTTTACAATTTTTTTTCCATCTACTCCGAAAACATTGGCATTATTTTTGCTTGAAGATGAAAAGATTAAGAAATTCCTATGTTATTAAGGTCCAGAAGAAAAGAAACTGATGAATTATACACTTCCAAAAGCCAAAAAGGATATTATAAAGTTCTAAATAAAAACCATCTTAAAGCAGATAATGAAAAGTTTTGTAGCTTTTTTTGACTTAATAAAGAGCAATTGGATTTTGTTTTAACTCCTATTTGTAGAGATATCAAAAAGCAGTCCACAAATAGTGTAAAAATTCCAATTTGTCCGAAGGAAAAACTTGATTTAACACTTATAATTATATTAATATTTCGTCATCAACATTAGTACAATTTTTGGACATTTTCACTAATAAATTTACTATTATAATTTATTTCTCTCTCCATAAATTTAAACTGGAAAACGCGTCGATGGCGTCGACGGCGGGATGCCTCGTCTTCCAGACGAGCCGCGTTAACGAAATCGCTGCCATTGCAATGCATTATAGCAGTGCTCGACGGCTGGACGCCGCGGCGGGCCGCGAACGCTGGACGTCGCAACGAAATCCCACCTTTAGACGTCTAACTCGCAGCAGAGCAGCAATAGCAGCGTTTTGTTGACGAAACATATCGGCAAAGAAATATCAATAACTAAAATCCGTAATAATTAAAAGTGTGTGCCCAACACAGAAAATTTATATTGGTCCTATATTTACAAACTAAAATGGTAAAATATATATATCACCTATATTGGGTAAATATTGTATGTCAATATTGGATCATTATTAAATAAAAATATAGGTCCTATAATTGCCAACTAAAATGGTAAAATATATGGCACAAATATTGGGTAAATATTGCATTTAAATATTGGATCAATATTAAATAAAAAAGTATGTGTCCTATATTTTCCAACTAAATTGGTAAAATATATATCACCTATATTGGGTAAATATTGTATGTCAATATTGGATCATTATTAAATAAAAATATAGGTCCTATAATTGCCAACTAAAATGGTTAAATATATGGCACAAATATTGTGTAAATATTGCATTTAAATATTGGATCATTATTAAATAAAAATATAGGTCCTATATTTTCCAACTAAATTGGTAAAATATATATCACCTATATTGGGTAAATATTGCATTTAAATATTGGATCATTATTAAATATAAATATGGGACCATTAAAATACAATCTGACGTTTCCATCATTGGGCCAATATGCAAAAATAATATTCTACCAATATTGGTGTGCTACTGGGGGTTCGATAGAGAAGGAGTTACTAAGTATAGTGTGGTCCGTAAAACACTTCCGACCATACTTATATGGCAAAAAATTTAAAATACTTACTGACCATAAACCACTGATCTACTTGTTTAATATGACCAACCCCTCAAGTAGACTTACCAAATTTAGGCTAATTTTGGAAGAATTTGGATTTTGTTGTCGAGTACGTACGAGGTAGAGAGAATGTGGTAGCGGATGCTTTGTCACGTATTATAATTAATTCGTCTGAACTAAAAGATATGAATGCGAGTGTGAATGAAAGAGTGCATGTATTAACTAGGGCTCAAAACCAAACAAAAAATGGCCAGGAAAATACAACTAGAAATGACAGGCTTGATCACCCTGTTGTTGTAGAAGTATTAAAACGTCCATCTACGATGGTAGAGTTACGTTTGCTCACAAATAAAAAATTCGAAAAAATTAAAAATAGCCAGGACATTAAATTTGATAGTATATTTTACGACGAAAAACTGCAAGTTATTTATTGTAATCAGGATTTTCGATCATCGTCGGACAGGTAAGTCGATGAGAAACCTGAGCAAAATTTGCAAATTAAAAATTATTCCGGAATTATATGTTATGAAAAATATTAAAAGCGCTGAATTTTTAAATATGTTACATAAAAATAAAAAGAAGTTAATAGAAAATAATATTAAATTATGTGTAATTAAAGATAGAGAGAGAATCGATGAAAAAGAAATGAGAAATCTTATTTTAAACGACTTCCATTCTTTACCTACAGGAGGACACGCAGGTGTCAACCGTATGTATAACAATATTAAAAAACGATACTTTTGGCCTAGTCTTAAAAGCGACGTAGAGAAGTTCGTAAAAAAATGTGATAGCTGTCAAAGGTACAAATATTCGGAACCAAATAAAGAACCAATGGTTATAACTACAACAGCTTCTTCTGCGTTCCAGAGAGTTTTTCTTGATATTGTAGGACCTTTACCTACAGATCTGCTAAATTATAAGTACATATTAACTATCCAATGTGAACTTTCGAAGTTCGTTAAAGCTTACCCACTCGAAAACAAAGAGTCAGAAACCGTAGCAAGGTCCTTTATTCAAAATTTTATTTTACGTTTTGGTATTCCTTTAGAAATCATAACAGATCAAGGTCAAGAATTTATGTCAAATATATTTAAATATATCTGCAAAATTTTAAAATAAATAAAATTAATTCTACGGCACACCATCACGAGACTCTTGGAAGTATTGAAAACTCACATAAAAGTCTAACTTCTTATTTACGAATGAACTGTACGAATCAGCAAAACAATTGGAGTTTTTTTGTTAGTTTTTGGACTTTCTCTTACAATAATACAGTACATTCCTCAACTAAATATACTCCCTTTGAGCTTGTTTTTGGTTTTCCGTGTAGAATACCTTCTAATATAACAACAAAAGTAGATCCAGTTTATAATTTTGACAGTTACCCATTCGAACTTAAGTATAGGCTACAAGTCGCATGGAGTGACGCCAGAAATAATTTAATCAAATCCAAACAAAAGCGTAAAGAGCGTTACGACGAAAGGTCGAAATCAGTTATTTACCAGATAGGTGATTTAGTTTTAGTAAATAATAAGAATATGGATAATAAATTAGATGCTTTATACAAAGGTCCTTATAAGGTGATAGACATTAACGAATCAAATTTAGTTCTTAAAATAGATAATAAGAATTTTGAGGTTCACAAGAACCGGGTTAAAAAATATAACATCATAATATAGCTTGTTAAGATAGGTTAGGATTAGTTATAGATTAGGTATAGGTAGAATGTAGAAAAAAAAACATTAGAAAATATTTTTTTTCTTTTTTCAACGGGAAAGGTATAGTGGAAAAGTCATAAGGCTTTAAATAATAATTATTATAAACTTATTTTGCAATATCAGTAGAATATAGAAATCATACCTAAAAGTATATTGCTTAGCAATTATGCTTATCTTGTATTTTATACGTGTTAATGAACTTACCGATATGTTATACTGTCTGTAAACCAACAATTAAAATATAGAATAAATCGAACACCGTTCCTGTGAAGACCTATTGTGTTTCCTTGACTCATGCTATGAGTTCGAACCTTACCCCAAAATATTCAGACATTTCAAATTAAATCAAATGCGCATAATGTGTTTAGTATTGAACAAAGTAAAATTGGTTTAAGTCCATATGATGATAAAAGGCATTTATTATCAAATTCAACGGATACGTTACCTCATGGGCACTTCAAGATTAATAATATTATGTAATAATTATTTATAATATTAATAAATATATTTTGTTGATTTTAAATTATTGTGTTTTTATTGACAACAATCATCATCAGGGTAAGTTTAAAAATCAGTATATTTTTCTAAATCATTTGACATTTTCATATCTAAATAGTATAAGCATTATAAAAAACAATAAGTTTCTACACTAGTACCGCAAGAACATAGGGATGACAGAACGTCTAGCACAGCATGAAGGGATGGAGGATAAAAACGAAGTTCAGTTTTCATCGCTTCATATGTGCTTTTTAATAGATTATGATAATAATAATTAAAATTATTTATCATTTCAAGTTTTTTTTAAATTAACTTTTCTAATTCAAGAATTTTAAAAACATTATTTAGCATAAAATAAAAATGGTACAATCATCTGATATTTTAAAAATTTTATTATTGCCATCAATATTTAATCCAATTTTCATGTTCCTCCAAAGCTAAATTTCATCAGTGCGATGTGCATCCAGAAGTTTTTAGAGTGATTTAATTACACCAACCCATTCACCATAAATAAAAGAGAGATGTTCACGAGTAACTTTGTTAACCATTCTTCCCTTGCACCACTAAGCCCACATTCCAGCGAGAATAATTGGAAATCATAAGTCGTTGTGTAGATTAATCGTTTTTTAGCTTTAATAGCTTCTTCATATCTAATAATCAAAGCATTTAGATTGGAATCATAAGAATCAAATTCCGAATCATTACTACTACTACCCATTTTATGTGTGCACTGCTGTACTTTACTTCTTAAACTAAATTAAATTTTGATTGTGTGGTGAGAAACTGGAAAAGAGTGGTGTTATCAAAAAGATTTTGTTTTATTAATATAACTATTATGTGAATCATCGAAGCCCATCCTCATAAAATGCTCCACTAATGGGTCTACCATTTAAATCCTCCAAAATGTATGTGGTTGGGTTTGTAATTTACTTTCACAATTTTAAACAATTCTGTAGTCCAATTGGGGGTGTATCCTTTATCAAAAACATGTTTTGCTTTACTTATTCTTCACTGATGGAAAACCTTTTAGGTTTGGTTGCTAATTTTAAATGTGTAAATGCAAACTTTAAAACTTCTTTTTCATTTTCTTCACAAACGTCAATTGGTTTCATATTAATTGTTCTATGTTTTGTATTATTATAATTTGAAACAATTTGTGGCAATATATCAACCCATTTATATGACCCATTTAAAGTAAAGTATTTAAAAAGGCGTTCTTTTACAGTCCTTATAACACGCTCGGCGATTGCAGCTTTTTTACAACTAAATGTATTATAGTGATTTATTGAAT